TGTAAGTGTGTGAGTGTGTGTGTGTCAGAGACGCTGTAGAAGGACAGAGAGCCGGCCGACACGTCCAGATACACTCCTGCTCTCTTAGAGGATGAAAGGACAGCAGGTATATCAGTGCTGGTATCATTGTGACGGACAGTGAATCTGTTATTAGAGCAGATCAGACTCCAGGATTTGTCATTGAATCCAAACACACAGTCACTCCCTCCTTTCCTGTTGATTCCTTTATATGACACTGATATAGCAGCATAATCTCCGCTCCATTCAGCCTCCCAGTAACAGCGTCCAGTCAGACTCTCAACACTCAGAACCTGAGTAACACCATCAAACCTCTCCGGATGATCAGGATACGGCTGACGCTCAAACACACGTGTGATCTTCCTTTTCTCATCAGACAGAATGAGTTGAGTGTGTGCTGTGTTTGGATCCAGTGTGAGATCACATGCATCTGAACAAAAGAAGAGAGAAACATCAAGAACAACACAACAGTGAAGATGTCTGTGTGTGTTTCCAGCTTTAACTGTATTTGCAAAGTCCAGAATCTCCTCACTATTCACAAATGTGCTCACTATTCACAAATGTCCTCTCTATTCACAAATGTGCTCACCATTCACAAATGTGCTCACCATTCACAAATGTCCTCACCATTCACAAATGTCCTCTCTATTCACAAATGTCCTCACTATTCACAAATCTGTTCACTATTCACAAATGTCCTCTCTATTCACAAATCTGTTCACTATTCACAAATGTGCTCACTATTCACAAATCTGTTCATTATTCACAAATGTCCTCTCTATTCACAAATCTGTTCACTATTCACAAATGTGCTCACTATTCACAAATCTGTTCACTATTCACAAATGTCCTCTCTATTCACAAATGTGTTCACTATTCACAAATGTGCTCACTATTCACAAATGTGCTCACTATTCACAAATGTGTTCACTAATATAGTGAAAGCTGTGTTTCAGTGTTAAAGTGTAATGATAGCAGTCTTTCTGCAGCAGTGGCTCAGTTGGGTTCGGTTCCCGCTGACAGATGCTGCTTTCAGACGATCCTGTGTGTGTTTGTGTGTCTGTGAAGAGCATCAATGCTTTCTATTTACAGTGTGTTTCTGCAGCGCTGATCACTGTAGCCAATCACAGACGTGTTTGTTGAGCGCGTGAACACAACGGCCAATCAGAGGCGTTTATTCAGAATCCATTCAATACACCAGAGTTTGTTCAGCATGAGCTCTCCCATATGGCAAAAATATATATATGTATATATATATAAATGTATGTAAAACTACAAAATAATGTTCATAATTCATGAGAACAGCAGCAGATGCTGCAAATGGCACGATTACTCTCACTGTTAAAAACACTCGAATGACTGCAGCAACGGCTGCCAAACAACAACTGTACACCTTCAGTAACATATCCTCATTTAAATACAGTGCAAAACTTTAACTTGAACAAACTGTTATTTGACAGGTATTTTGTGCAATTCTATTTTGTTTTCTTGCTGAGCAAAACGTTTCTCTATTGGGAAGATATTTCAGTCACCTGAGCAAAAACATTCTTTAAACCAGAGCTGCACAGCGCACACAAAAAAGTGTGTAACTTTTAACTTTAATGTGCTGTTTATATTTGATTTTACGCTTGATGTAAATAAATGATGCACATTTTAGGTTACCTGAGAAAACATTTTCTACACTGCTATGTTACCATAAAATTCTATTAAAAAATAATTGTAAAAAATCTCACACTGAACAGATCAATTCTTTATAATAATATAATATCATATAAAATACTTTTTTGGTCGACCAAGCCTCTTCTGGTCGACTAACGATTAGTCAACTATTAGGGGGCAGCCCTACATTAAATAAATATAAATCCTAATGTATTAAAAGAAAGATATTTCCACATGACTCTAAAGCTGAATCCACATATTACTGTTATGTAGTGACACACTATTTAAATCATCTTTGTGAGCAAAGTGACCGGCACTGCTAACTAGTTAAAAAAGACTAGCTGTGTTTTGCACAGGTTTCTGTGATGTCTGTTTATGGCACAGAAGATATCATTAACCTGACAGAAAAAGCAATGAAAGTTTATGAGATGAGTTTACACAACCAAGTGTGCGTGTGTGTGTGTGTGTGTGTGTGTGTGTGTGTGTG